TTTTTTTTTAAATTATGAATTGGGTGAAGGTTTACAGAGCAGATCACCAGTTTTATATTAGGCAATTCATACACATTTTGATTAATCTCATTCATAACTGAGATGTAATTAATTTGCATGCCCCTTCTAGCCACTGTCCCTTATGTGATGTGTTACAAATTCTAGCCTCTATGCCTAAAGTTATAACCCCATTTTCAAGTGAGTTCTATGTTACGCTAATAGACAGAATTAATGAGGGATGTATTTTGAATCCCCACCTTACTAAAGGGTGAGAACCAAGTTATTACTCTTTGTTTACTCAGGTATATAGTCTACTGGAAGACAAAACCACACCTCCATCAAAGCTGTTCCTCTGTGCATGAGAGCTAACTCAGAAACTGACAGAGGGAATTCACAGGACAAGTAGCACAGCACATTTGAGATCTCTCCCTATTTCAAGTAGCAGAAGCAATAGAGGCCAGGCCACACGAAGGCCAGAGGCCTACACATAAAGACCTTGAGACAGAGCAGAGCCAAGACTATGACACTGTGAGGCAGAGCAGCAGGCAGGGTTCCTGGCCATGAAGACCAGAGACCAGGGAACCATGTGACTGAGAGGCTGAAGACCAGAGAGACGTAGCTGCTGGCTGAAAAGAGCTGTGGGCTAATCACTATACCATTGCTGCTTATTGAACCTGAATTGTGGTATTCTGTTAACTTCCCTAATAAACTCCCTTAATTGTGAGTACGTATGTGTGAGGTCTGGGGGGCCATTGCCATGAATCATTGAACCAGCAGAAAGACAGAGCATGAGGGCAGAACAGTTGGTGTCAAACCAACCCGGGCGAAGAAGGTTGGAGGCCTGACTGACCTCTGCCTCTTGCCAGTGAGGACTTGGATTCTCCTCTCTTGTGTAGCCAGAAGAGGTCTGATATGACTTCCACACCACTTTCTTGATAGCCCTTCGGAACGCTGCCTTTGGGTAAATGCTACCCCTTTGATGCTGGTAGTTGATTATTCTTAGGTGTACATACCACACTGGTGTTACTGTTCCCCTTATAGACTGGTCTATTGTTTGGCTAAAAATTGAGCCACAGAGGGGAATTCAGTTTCAGAGTTGAAGGGTATCTAAAGACCATACCTTTAAGAGTTTCACCATCTCTATCAGACCAGTTGTAATTCTCTTTTTTTGAGTGTGGGCTGGACATTAGTGACTTGCTTCTAGCCAATAAAATATAGTAAAAATGATAGAAAGTCTCATGCATGATGAGACTACATAACATGATTACTTTCACTTCTCTAGTAGTTGCATTCTTATTGGCTTTAATAAAGTAAGTAGCCATGTTGGAAAGACCCACATGGCAAGCAACTGAGGTCTGGCCAGCAGACAGCAAGGAACTGAATTCTGCCAACAACTATATAAGCTTGAAAGCAGATCATTCCCCAGGCGAGCCTTGAGAAAAGACCCCAGCATTGGCCAACATATTGATAACATTGATGGGAGACCCTCAAACAGACCAGCTAAGTCGGATCTAGACTACTGACCTACAGAAATTAAGAGACAATGAATGTGCATTGCTTTCAGCCACTAAAATGTTGATAATTTTTTACATAGCAGTACATAACTAATGTACATACATTTAGAATACAATCATCATTTCTTGAGACTTTACTGGATCTACAAAAACGAAAATGAGACTTACTTGGAATGTAGGAAAGGACCAAAGTTCCTTTGGATTTCTTCAGTGTTACACAGGGCGTCACATTCAGTGAAATAGGGTGTTTCAGGTTATCTAAACGGAATAGAGATAATATCAATAGGTTATTATAAAGAACTTCTCATTAAATTCTGAGTATTGGTTCCCAAAAGACATGATCCATACCTATGATGAGAAGCATTAAAGTAGTTACAAATATTGTCCCAAAACATATTTTCATAAAATTACTTGTTCTAAGACTTTTAACCTAACCTTTTCTCTGGTCCTACCCTGGTAGGCAGCCATTGAACACTCAGTTGCTCAATGAAAGGTTCCTGGTTTTCTGCGGGATAAACAAATAACAGTTGGCCTCTGTAATGATTTCAGCCTTGGAAACCCTATGGGGCAGCTCCCATGGGGTAATTGACTCAACCACCCTGTTTGGCTTACTCTCTCCATTGCCTACCCTCCTTCACTCAACAACCTTTACCTTTGTTGTTGCTCCCATTGATCCAAAATGAAAAATTCACAATGGTGATTTGAGATTCTGGAAACTTAGAGAATGAAGGCATAAGTGAACTAATGAGGAAGCTTCCTAAAGAGTAAGATTCAATAGAGGAGTGGAGGGAAAGTTCATAAAAGTGTTCAGAGGGGGAAGAAACTATGCCAGTTTTGTTAATTTTGTATATGAATGCAACTCTTAAAATAGTGTTGGCATCTGTTAGTAAGGAACTGAGTTTAATTGCAAAATAAACTTCCTATAGAAATAGACAATGCAAGTGCATAAAATGAGCTGAGTTGATTCTTCTTTTACTTAATCATGGATGTTGTGCCATGGCTGTGACCAAAAATAAACAAACGAACAACAAAGAACAATCTCTGATCAAAATGTTCAGTAATGGTAGCTAGGCGCCAACCAGTCACAGTCTTCCTGCAGAAGAGGCAGTTGTTCATGGGGAAAATTAGCTGCACATTCCGTTTGCCCCTCCTATTCCTGGCTCTTCTCCTATCAACTTTTTACCGGTGTGCAACTTATTGACAGCAGTTACAATAATTGGTGGCGTAACTCTATCCTATATGTGAATTTTTTAAATCATTGTTAACCTCTCTTTTCCCCCTCCCCTCATGTCTAGTAATCATTAATAAACTTTGGTCTCTATATAGTTGCCTTTTCTTTTTTTTCATGTAAGCGAGGGAGGTGCTGTCAGCCATCCAAACAGATGAGTTTGAAAATTGTTTCCATGAATGCAATGGAATACATTTAACAAATATATTGAGTGTAATGGAGAGTACTTTGAAGATAAGGTTGTTTTGTAAAAAAGAAAACAAAACCATAGCTTTGAAAAAAAATCCCTGAAGGTAAA